ATTGTTTTTATGCCATAGCATATATCTGGCGTATAAGTCAAACTCTGCTTTTTTTTCGTCTTCTTTCATGATTTTTTCGCAAATACGGCCAACATCATTTCCATTGCGTTCAATTTAATTTTAAGAAAACCAAATCAATGCCATGCTCAAAATCAAACACCAACGATAAGTGGTAATGGAGTCGACACTCGGATCAAGTATTTGCGATAGAGTTTGGAGTAACAAGCGAAGAATAAGAAGAAGAAGAAGAATCAAAAAAGAATTTCGCTTAACAACGGCATTTAGTGGATTGGCGTCAATGATTCAATATGTTTGCCGTGCATTAGTATTTATCCAAGTACGAATGATACAAATAGTTTGTTGGTTTGACAAAGTGCCCAACTAATTTTTCGCACATATCTCCGCCGTGATTGAGTGAGAAAGCGAGCGTGTGGGATGATGACGGCGAGTAAGAATGAGTGAGCGAGTCTGCAGAGGAAATGGGACACAATGGATTCAGTTCTGTTATTGCCTTTCAACTTTACATTGTTTCTTTCACGGGCGATTGCAGCGGGTCGATGATATAACTTTGTCGTTTAGCAGCGTCATCGAGCACAAATTGATAGCCGCGCGCCGTTCATTTACGAACCGAATCGATGGTTTCATTTGGCGAAGGCAAGCGAAGTCAGTCAAGGTAATTAGTGGAGAAAATCGCGAAAAATACGAGAAAGAGAGAAAGGGACTATGTGTATGTGTGTGTGTGAAAGACTGAGTGAGTCAGAGAGAAGGAATAAGAGCACGCGAGAAGACAAAAAACGATAGCAACAACAACAACAACACCCTTTAGATTGAATGGAATGATTGAATGCAAGCTGTTTTAATATACTACACATATCACACTGTGGAATCATTTAACCAAGGAGCACACCACACACAATCGATTAAGTGTGCCAGTCCGCCACTAGATCTGTGTACGTGGATGGAACAAAGCGTAGCGCGTTCAACTATATCGACTTTACTCTGGTCGTAATTCATTGTGTGCCATTATTGTGATGGGGTGCTGCCGTTCGGTGTGTCGATATTACATTGTTGATTGTAATATGTGTGTATCGTTAACTACATAGTGAAATTTTTGCGGGCCCCTCATATACTGGAAAATGAGTCAACATTTCGTCAGAATATGGTTCAAACTCCAAATATATATATATGTATATTTAATTGGTATTCATGGAATGGCATAAAAAACAATTCCACACTCATCACATTCATCGGTGGTGGCATGAAACGAAGCAACCGCAGTCAGATCCAATAAGTTTAATAAATTTCAAAAAAAAAAAATCTGTCGTTGTCTTGGCTGCTGCTTTTCTTCTGTTTGCCATCCCGTTTGCCTTGCTGCTGTGTACATGTTCAATGAAAGTTTACCGTAAATGAAAATGAGACACCGTTTTGACAAATTCGAAGTTGACGTGCCGTACTCAAAGTGAAAAAGCACTTAACTGAAGAGCAAGTCGTATGAATGGCAAAAGTGTTAAATCTTATTGCCGATCTCCTCGACAGGCGCATCACATTTAAGAAAGCCACACACAAACCGAATACGGCGCTATATCAGCAGCTCATTCATTACTACCCCCCCCCCTCTCTCTCGCTTGTTCCCTTTATTAATTGTGAGATAAATGTACGTTCTTGATTCCTTTGTGTGTGTGTGTGTGTGTGTGTACGTTCATGAGGTGGTCGCTTGGTTCAATGTGTTCTTGCGATGCGACAAAAGTTGGCTCAATCATATTTATTCAAATAACGCATCATTCACACAGCAAACATATCGAATATTTTCCACACATTTTATCACATACATTCGAACACAAATGATTTTAATGATATTTTTATGAATACGCAGTATTTTTTTGCTTCCTTTTTTCGCTACCCCCTCCCCCGAAGCATTCATTGAAAATCGCATGACATTCGGAGCCTTGCAATGGCACAAAAATATAACATACATATTGCCACATTCTTTTTGGGGGAAGCTCTTATCTCGTAAAACAATTAAAAGCGATTCAATATACAGCAATACACACTCACACACACCGAATGAGAAGAGAGACAGTGGGGAGAAGCGAATGAAAAACACGGAAAATATATAAGCACTTTTTTTCTTCTTTTTCTGAAAAGCATTTTTGCGATGTAATCTTCCATACAGTTCCCGAAATAGCTCGAAGTTGCAAGTTAAAATGTTTGAAATATTGTCAGGCTGTGTGCATTGAATTGGTAAAAAAAAAATGTCGGCAAGAGAGAAACACAGAGAGATAGAGTGAGATATGGCGAGAAAGAAAAAAAATGCTGATTGTGAAAATAACGCAAAAATGATGTTACTACACATTTCAATGCTCATAAGAAGCATTCCTTTGAGCATTGAAGTGTCTTTTTCGTTGTTGTGTTTGGTCGTCGCCGTCGCCGTCGTTGTCGTCATGAGTAGTAATTTTCGTTTGAAATAAAAAAGAAAGCCATGTGTCACGTAAAATAGTTAAAATCATGACGTTTTATGATACAAATGTATCAGCTCAAACCTTCAATTTCATTTTTCCGCATTTGACTGTGATTCTAAATCATTGCCTCGATAATCGGATTGGAATTCATTTGGTTTCCAAATCATGCGATGCATATCATTTGATGTTGCGATTCTAAACCAGCTTACAAATGGGACGGAATAGAGAATGAATGAATGAGAGAGACGCGCGCGCGAGCAAAATATGCCAAAATATGAAAATATGCTGGCATTTCATTTGAGAAATTTGCATTCACGTCCATCGGCAAGTTATTGTGCTGTGGAGCGAAATATGATCACTTTGGCCAAAGCCAACCATTCGTCGAAATTGAAACAATGAAAAATTATCATGGTTTTGCACCATTCACCGGGTGATTTTGTGTGTGTGTGTGTGTGCAAAATTGGTAATAAAAAAAAATTTATCACTTTCCAATTGATCCGGTTCAGAGAGCAGAACAAAACGTTATGCCGTTCGCCCGAAATACTCGTTGGTAAAGTGTGTGTCATACGTTTTTTTTTCTTTTCACTAAGTGTGAGTATGAGCGACGAGTTGAATTTCGAAAAGAATAAAAAAAAACGCAGCACAACAATTTATTGGACGAATACAGTGGGAGTTGTCAGTATTGATTCTTACCTCTGTGTGTTGTGATGGAAAAACGCTGTTTTGCATCAAATTATGTGGTTCCAGCGAATCTAAATGCGTCAGACTTTTGGATTTTAGCTATGTATATAAAAAAGGAGAGAAGAAAAAAGAAAAAGTCAATCAAAAGCTCCAATAAAACCATCCAGTTTGATTAAATGAGGAAAGTGCGTGCGACATGGTAATCTGTAAAAACAAAACCCGATTTGCGATCGAGGGTCGTTGAAAGGATACTGCAAATGGCATATTTTGGTCTATAATTTAACCATGTTGTGTTTTTTCTTTTGTGAATCGAATGAGTGACTGTTTGTTTGTGTGTTTGTGTGAGTGTGCTCTTTTCAACCCACACCAGACTATGTCTCGAATTAGTGCCTGTGTGCCATTTTTTGCCGTATTAGTGAAGTGAGAGAAAAAACAACAGCTCATCACTTTTGGCTCTTTAAGTACTAAAATGGAGATAAAACATTGCATTCACATTTGATGGGCACAATAAAAACAAGTGAGAGGGAGTAAAAACCGTAAAAAACATTTAGAATCAAAGAACAGCAAAAAAAAGCAGCGGCAGCAACACTATTCAACATTCCTTGACAATGTGATACGTGGATATTTTTTGAGAAAATTGGAAGGAGTTTCCTTAAATCCGATTATATTTTCTGCATCATAAGTTCATTGACAGTCCAATCAGGTGGCAATATTGTTGATGTGCTTTTAGTACCCGTGTTCCGATTCCACGATACACGAGTCATGTTCAATTTGTTCGTATCAGAGAAAAAGGAATGAAATAAGAAAGGAAGCACAGGGCGATTACAATCTCATACCGAGTCTATATTACGGACCAAAACTATTTACGAAAAGATCGCATTTTTTCAACAAAATCGATGTAAATCCCATTTGGAGAACATTGAAGAAAATTGCAGTCGGATACTTTTAAAGTGCATTACATTGAATTTGAATTAGAGAGTTTGAGTCTATTATGGACCAATGTATTTGAAACGGCGTATTTTCTTGTTGTTGAAATTTGTTTTTTTTTTCTTTAATCATTTCCGTCAATAAAGTCATCGCCTGAGCATCACATGGACAAAGGCTTCCGCTTTGCATGGGCGATTTCACATTTGAAATGCTTTAGATATATTTCCCTCGCCAGTACAGATATCACCGTTTCCCTGTTTTCAAAACATAACAAAAGGAGTTTTATTTCATTTGGTCGTTGATACGTTCGTTTCCAAGCGAATGACTTTCGTTAGAATTGCTTTTTTTGTATAATGTTAGATTTATCGAGATGTAAAGCCCCATCCGACGTTGGCATTTTTGAAATTCAAACAAATACGGTTGGGCCCTGCCTTTTTTTAGATACTCCCATTCACCAACAACAAAAACCGAGGGGCAAACCACTCAAAAGTAATACTGTGTATTAGTATTACTTTAAGTAATACTAATGTAAATATTACCTTGTATTACTTTAGTATTACTTTTTTCAAACAATAGTATTATTTTTAAAAGGAGTATTACTTTATCAAAAGTAATACCACTTTTACCTAGTATTACTTCGTATTACTTCGCAGGTATTATGTATTACTTTTGAGTGGATTGCCCCTTGACAAAAACAGATGCTGAATTGACTGAAATGAAAAAGAGTCACAGCTCCACGAGTAACACCACTTAAAAGTGAAACCTTTTTTTGGTAAACTATCAATATGGCTTATTTTTCGCCAATCTCTTTTTGATAACGAATTGAATAAAAAGCCAGATCAGTTCACTGAAACAATGCTAAATGTGTGTTGAATGAAGTGTTTGACGCACATTTACAATTCCCATTCGGTAGTGGTATGAAATTAAACAAAAATAGAAAAAACGTGCCCAAAATGTCACACTTCTATGTAACATAACATGGATTTCCACTTACTACATAGTAACGATAGAGAGATAGGAACGAAGAGTGTGAGCAAGCACGAATGTCAGCTGGGCGAAAAAGAAGGAGAAAAAAAAACAAAGCGAGCGAATCCTTCATTGCCAAAAACATTAATTATTTCATAAACTTTTCCAGCGTATTCATATATTATAACCCTGGCTGTGGTTTCAGCTGAAATCGCTGCAATTTGTTGTAATACACTAAAGCTTTTGGATACAGCCACTCAATCTTCCAATTGCTTACGATTTGTTTCACATTGAATTGTGCGAAAAGACACAGCACGAACGCTCTTGATTCTTCCCCAGTATGGTTGGGATCGCAAGGCGACCAGAGTTCATCGTGTGTATATGTGTGTTTACACACAAACAAATGGAAATAATCCACAACCAACCGAATATTGGATTGGAGCATAATTTTTCCTTGCTCAACACTTTCAAATGCCGAGAGAAAAACTTATGTAAAAGATACAAACATATGTTAAAACATTCAATAAACTGAAACAATCCGTGACTTCATTCTCGTCAACAACAGCTTCGAGTTGCTTTTTTAATCGCTTTGCCAACTTCGTCTCTGTTTTTGGCGCACTCATACATACGCACATACGCCACAATAGATAAAACGTATAATAATCAAATAATCCTAAGATACACCGCACCGTATTCGCATTCAACACTACATTTTAAACTAATGTGTGTGCGCGTTTGTGTGTGCACACACCACCAGTAACATCAGCAGCAACAACTATTGTGAAAACTAAAATTGTCGGGAAATTGCATTCTGTAACCGTTAAATTAAAAACTTATACTGTCGATCGTAACTTTGTAATGTTTATTTAAGGTTTCATGTCATACAGTATGCGGTTTTGAGCAATGGCACATTAGTTTTTGCCTAATGAAATCGCGTTTCAATAAATTAAAAAGGGCAATGGTACGAGGTGGGAGGTTGATAAAGAGTGTAGAATAAATATGCCAACGATAGTTTTGACACATTGAAAAATAAAAAATAAAAACAACAAAACCGTGAATTATGATGATATAGAGAGAAAACAACAGCTACGCACTACGGTTGCTCGGTTTGTGTGTCTGTGTCAGTGTCAGTGTATGTCTGTGTATAAGTGAGTGAGTGGGTTTGTGTGTGTTTGTGCTTTGTGTATTTACATATGATATGTGTTCAGCATACCTGCAGTAATTTGCTTGTTGGCGGTGAAACAACGAGACATATTTTCATTGGTGACTGTGTAAATTCATCACTGTGCTTCATTTCGCCGATTAAAAATGGATTTTTATTACGTAAAAAAAGGGATGATGATGGTGATGTTGGTATTGATGATTCAATTTTTGATTGATGTTTTTCATTCGTTGTATAATCGATGAGATTTACGTCATTTCTATTGTTATCGGGGACGCTTGTGCCATTCCTACAATTCCTATAATCTTTTTGGACCAACTCTTTAGAATATTCCAAACAAACGATCGGGGAAGGAGGATACACAAAGAGAGACGGCCACCACTCAAGACAGTTGAAAAGAAGAATGTAGCTTGAAATGCGGCATCATAGATTTTCTGTTTATTTTTTTATTTATTTTTTTGTCTTCTTTTCGATCAGTAACGTTATACCATCATTCCGCTTGAAACTAATGTATAGCAGACGTCAGTGACTGGTCTGGCAAACATAAGCCCATCGACGAGCCAGATCGAAGCTACATTCATCTCATCAATTGCATGTGGCTCTCAATGTTGCCGCAAATCAGACTCACCATTTATAAATGATTCGATAGGCTCTTTGTCCATTTCCGTTCTCTCGTCCAAAAACGGATTATTGGTGTATTGTGGTGGAACGAATGATGATTGCTGCTAAATCGTATACACATAAATAAATATTAGCGAATGAGAGATAGAGATAGAGAGACAGAGCGTATATTTATCTCAACGCGCTACGAACTATATAAGCTAGCTCATAAAGCTACGGTGCATCGTATATCGATGGATTTATTTAGTGAACGGAAGAACAGTGAGGAAGGTGATGTTCCGTTTAGTTTGATTGCGTCACATGGCCGCTTTCAGCGTCTATTCACCCTTTAAAAACGATTACCACTCTCCTCTCTGCCACTGTCTCGGTATCTGTCTCTTTCGATGCGTGTGTGTGTGTATGTGTAAATGCTGTGATGTGTCTGTCACATCATATGTGTGTTTACTGTTTACATTTCGAATCGGGAAACGAATGCAAATGAATTCATCATATAGATTGTGTATATGTGTCTGTATGTTATATCAAAGTTTTATTTTCATACTTTTTATTTGTTCATTTATTTTTATGGCCAATCGCGAAACGAAATGTGCCCATTTTCTTTATGTGTAAATTTTTAAGCTTCGCATTTCGTTCGATCCCAATTTTCTCCACAATTTCATTTTTCTTCTTCGGTTCGTTCGTTTCCGTTTTCTACCTATTTCATTACCGTTCCTAATACCACACGGTGGTCGCTCTTCTATTTTGACAATAGAAATGCCGCATGTGTGTGTGTGTGTGTGTGTTTGCGTGAAATATGTTATACGCGCAATTTAACGGTATATATTTGTCACGAAAGCTTTCAGTCTGATTGGATTTGTTATCCGAATACCCGACTCATACCGACTGCATTTATTGCTATTGAACAATGATAATTTAATTTCTTGTGTTTAGATTCCAGGACATTGAATCGATGGCGTTCGGGAATGGCCAAGATGTTAGCAAGACACCTGTCAATGCATTCAATTGGTTACTGTGACATAAGAATGATTTTCTGCGAACATTTAAGGCGAATTGAAACAAGCTCCCGGTTAACATCGGTGTATCCATTGGATACTATCCAATCCACTTGATTACATAATTCATCTAAATCAATTGCATTTTCATGAAGCCCATGAAGAGAGAGATAGAGAGAGAGCTCTCTATGTGCACCAAGAACACAATACCTACGAAAACGACACTAAACCAATATTTGCTTATGGGTGCGAATATTTTCCGGGGGAAGAAAATCGGATGATTCAACTTGATAGCAACTATTTTATTATTAGATGTTCATTTGTTGGAAGTTAATGTTTTCTTATCGGCTTCAAGCATGAAACGAGCCGCACGAATCATCCTCTTTTGCTGCTCTTTCACCTATATTCCTATCTATGTATTGTGTGCAGAA